AGATAATATTGTAATAGTTTCCAGCTATGCAATGCCCTTTCAGAATATTGTTAAATACTACTATTTAAATAATATTATTAGTAACTTTTCATCATATATTTCTACTAAATTGGTTGTCAATAATTATCTATTCATTAAATTTTTCGATAAAATTATTTATCATATTACCAGTGCAATAAAAAAGATCGTAATATTTTTTATGTGTAGTAGATGATAAAAAAAAGATGTTATTTTATTAAAAAAATAAAAAACTTATTTAAAAAAATAACTGAAAAGTCATCTTACGTGTTAAGACTCTTGAATTCGAAAAAAATACATCTTGTTAAAATAAAGTATTTAACCGATGAAATTCGTCTTCAAATATATTTTATTTTGAATAAGACAAGATTTCGAGTTAGTATAACTCAGCGGTATGTATGAACGTCTTCTAATCACTGGTTCACCTGTTCAAATCTGATCGTCGTCGCTTAAGGTAAAATCTAATCCATTTGCCAGGGAAGGCTAAGACCATCAAAAAATATTGATGGTGGCGACTCAGTTCGAATCTGAAATGGATTATCATATTTTTTTTCAAAATTCTTAGTTTTTTTATGAAACGCGTCCAGACGCATTAAATGTTTCATCTGGGACGCGTTTTCGCTAAAAATGCGTTTGAACGCAAGTCAAGCTAGAAGCGCATTCACACGCGTTTCTAAAATAAATCGCGTTTAAACGCTCCGTTTGTTTCACTGGGGACGCGTTCAAACGCGTTCACTCTTAGCGTTTCGCACGCAAATGAAACGCGTTTCAGACGCGTTTTGAGGCAAAAAATATTTACATGGGTAGATATCACTATTATTCCTATTGTGTATAGATGATCGTTACCCTTCACCTTCGAGCGGTTACTACACGCTCGAAGGGGAACGTATTGAACGGTTCGTAGAGAATAAACATAGTAGTGAGTTGGTGAAGTATGTGCAGTAGAGGGAGAGAGAGTGTGAATAGCTTATGGGGTGTATGTAAAAGTGTGTGTGAAGCAGGAATAGTGTGCGAAATAAAGATCAACTGGACAACTGTCTTTGATAATTCACACTTACTTAGCTTTCGAATTCGTTATACTCATGTGAACTCTTTGAATGCCTGAATGTATCTAAAAAATGCTTTATACATGATGTTAATCTTGCTTAAATGTATTTTGTAAAGGATGAAGAAATGCAACTACTTCAATCCTTTCTGTGTAATATTCGGATCAATAATTTTTAATTGGATTACATCGGAGCAATTTTTTGTTCTGGATAGACAATAAAAGTTAGACTTACTTGAATCTTCTTGTTCATATAATTTGAATTGGATGTGGTCTCTTTTTCATTATTATCATCAACTAATTCTGGGTGACCGCAACAAATAGACACAAAATTTAATAATGTTAAAACGAAAAATACTTTATATATCATTTTTAATCAATGCTTCAAGCCGATGTGTAGTTCGTTACAATTTTTCTTTCACGCAACATTTTATATTTACACACATATATATCTGAATAAGGCCCGTTGGCTTTTACCTTTGTAATCTTTTGCTGCATTGTAAATATTTATTCTATGACTTTGGTATTTAATTCTTTGGAGTTAGAACTTTGTGATGGACGTATAAGATCAGTTACAATATGCATATTTACTTAGGTTATCAGTAGTGTTTTTTCCACATTTATATTATTCATGTATATGTTGTCTCTGTCCATCTAAAATGTTTTGGATTATATAATTCATCAGTCGTATCATAGTAATATGAGAAACAAGATGAGATCATTAATTAACCAAACTTTCATTTTTGTTTTTCTACTATCTTTGGTTGGTTCACGAGAAGTTAAAAAACTTAAACGTTCCTATATTGACGAATGTGAAAGATTTTGGCAACAAGCACCTGTTACCTGGAAACATGATGTTATAAATGGTGCCAAAAAATTAATAACAGTTGCTGATGCAAAACAATATATAAGTAGTTTAAGCGAAATATGGCAAATAGAAGGAAAACATGGTGCCAATCAATTCATAGCTACATTAAAATTGAATACCGAACATGTTGGTATAGCATCATCGGAGTATTGGGATGGACATTATGCAATTAGTGGACAAAATGGTGAAGTGACATATATATTTGTTGTAATACACAGCGAATCGAGTAGCATCTCTGTAACATTTAGTTATCATCATCTAACGGAAAATATGATTGGTTCTAATTCAGTTTATACACCTTATGCAAAAGATATAACAATCGAGTGGCTAAAATGGAAAGCATTGGAAAATATTCAATCTATGGTACCATCTAATATCGCACCAACAATTGAGTGGAGTGTTAGCTCCAATAAAGGTCACTCTATCACCACAAAGTATCTAGTTATACTATTGTTTTTCTCCTTTCCTCTTTCTCTAGATATATATTAGAGTATTTTTTCTGTTCACTTCAGTGATTAACCTTTTCTATCCATTCTCTACTATATATATTTCTTTTCTCTTGATATTATTCTATATCTTGTTTCGTGTTTTTCTCTTTTTTTCTATCATACTTATCTGATTTTGCTTGGAGAATAAACCCTTTCCTTGATGCTATCCCCATCCCCACATTCATATATCATTATATGGTGAGTATAACTGATGCATTTTTACGTGAACCTTTTCATTCCTTAGCGAATCAAGGGTTTTATGTAATTTCGGCAATAAGAATTTCACCATCTGAATTTTGACAATGCCGAATTTCCGTTTATGTCGTAATGCCGTAGGAATTTCGACAAGAATAATTATTAATGCATATTTTATTGTCCATTTTCCACCAAAATTATGATAATATGCATACGAGCTACACTACGTGGCACCAACATAGTTATATCTTGGATTTTGAAGTTAGTATAAAGGGGAACCGGAATTTTCAGTAAAACCCTTCCATAATAGAAGCCCCTTTCATATTAGAAGCCTCTCCCCTATTAGAAGCCCACTCTGGAGAAGTCGACTTGTCAGACATATTAGAAGCCCTCTCATTTTAAATTTTTTTTGATAGTTTTTTGGAAACTTCTATTTGTGTTTTCATAGTTAAACTTTAAAAATTACAAGATTTTAAGGTAAAAATGTGTGAAATTCTTATTTCTTTGTATTAAAATCTCACAATTTCCTTGAAAATCCTTCAAAAAAAACCTGTGAAAACTCTGAAAATTCTCCTAACGCTTTTGAAAAACTTTGGTACGTGAAATCTTTGAAAAATCCTGGGACATATTAGAAGCTCCCTCCAAAAATTTCGAATGCCGGACAGTTTAGAAGCCCCGGTTGGCTTCTATTATGGGAGAGGGTTTACAGGAACAGGGTGTGGCTGTGGGTGTGTGGGTGTGGGTGTGGGTGTGAGGGTGTGGGTGTGAGTGTGCGCGTGGGTGGTGGGTGTGGGTGTGGGTGTGGGTGAAGGCGGGGAGAGGGGGGGGGGGGGCGGGGCGTGGGAGTGGGCGGAG